AATTGTTTGTGTTCTCTATGTACATTGGATCAACGCTTGACGAAGTGTACACTTTCATATCTAAGAGGTAGCCGAATTTTGATTTCGAATTCGTCGTGCTATGCTATTTTGCGACAAAGGAAATAAAAGAGTTAGTTTGTCGGATGATGAAGATCTGAAGAACATGATTCAGTTACATGTTTGTTGGAAAGTAAATATTGTGGAGATACTTGCCCTTGAAAGAAACGAAAGAGCGGATGATGGAGTTCAAACCTTTCCGATGAAAATGAGCAGGTAATGTTGCTTTCATAATATTAATGAATTTATTATTGAAATATTGTATAGTAATATCATATCCTAATTCATTAACTTTTTAACTAGTTCAATTTATTTAAAAATCTTTGTATTATTTCGTAATGAACGCATGTAAATCAAACCGTATGATGATTTCTCAGAGGGAGAATATGAGTTGTTGCAAGATAAATCGATCGATTCTTTGAGATTTTGCATCAAATGAGAGGGGCATATATTCAGTGGGGCCGACAAATTTCGAAAGAGCGTTAAAAACTACGCGATTGCAAATAAGCGGTCTTTTAAGTATGGGAAAAATGACAAGCAGGAGATTATCGTTTGTTGTAGCGATGCGGGTTGTGAATAGAGAATATATGTATCATTACACAAATGTGATAAGTTTTTTGTCATCCGCAAATGCAATCTAGTCAATACTTGTGGAGTGTCCAATCTTCGGACAAGGGGCATCCGAAAACAGACTCCATATGGGTCTCAAGTACAATTAAAGACAAATTGAGAGATGACACGAATTACAAGCATAGCATGATACTGAAAGATCTTCTAAATATCGTGTTAGGCTTGTAACTCAGTTCATCTCTCAATTTGTTTTTGATTGTACTTGAGACCTATATAGAGTCTACTTTCGAATACCCCCTTGTTCGAAGATTGAACACTCCAAAAGTATGGACTAGATTGCATTTGTGGATGACAAACAACTGATCACCTTTGTGTAATGATGCATATATTCTCCATTCACAACCCGCATCGCTACAACAAACGATGGTCTCCTGCTTGTCATTTTTCTGATACTTAAAAGACCGTTTATTTGCAATCGAATAGTTTTTAACGCTCTTTCGAAATTTGTCGGCCCCACTGAATATCTGCCCTTCTTTTTGATGCAAAAATTCCAAGAATCGATCGATTTATCTTGCACCAACTCATGTTCTTCCTCCGAGAAATTACCATACTGTACGATTTCTTTGCGTTCATTACAAAGTAATACAAAATTTTTTTAAATAATGGAACTAGTTAAATAATTAATGAACTAGGATATGATACGACTATACCATATTTTAATAATAAATTCATTAATATTATGAAAGCAACATTACCTGCTTATGTTCATCGGGAAGGATTGAATTCCATCATCCGGTCTTTCTTTTCTTTTAAGGGCAAGTATCTCTACAACATTTACTTTCCAACAAACATGTAATCGAATCATGTTGTTCACATCCTTTTCATCGACAAACTAACTCTATTTTTTTCCGTTGGCGCAATATAGCATAGCACGATGGATTCGAAATTAACATTCGACCGCCTCTTAGATATGAGAGTGTACACTTCGTCAAGCGTTGATCCAATGCGATAGAGAACACAAACAATTCATTCTTGTACGTACAACTCTCTAGTACATCTCTTTGTGCCCTTCCATGTATCTAACAATAATTGGATAAATAAAAAAAATCACATTTCCCAGTAAATATGGTATAAAACAGTATTAAAGTGGTAGTATATACATACAAACAGAGATACAATAATCAAGAATAGTGGTATAATGATCGTTATCACCTTATTTTTTGTTTTAGGGTGAATAACACATTACATAACCTAACAATAACATCAATTTCATATACATGAACAAGAAAAAAGAGATTTAGAGATTTTGATCAATTTCATTGATTTAGGGGTAAATATGAACAACAATATTCAAAATTCAATTTTTAACAAATTAACCAAAAATATATGAATTAAACATGATTTTTGGACTCAAAATCCTCATATAATACATATATTACCTAATACTTCGAATTTTGGCAGGAAAAAGGACAAATGTTGCCAGAAAAATTTCAATTTCGCCGGACAAAATTCACGCAAAAAACACTTCTTTCACTGGATTTGTTGTTGCCGGAGTTCTTCTCGCTGGATTTGATGTCGCCGGAGGACGAAGCTGAAAAAAAAAAACAAGGAAGTTGCCGAAAGGAGAAGATGACGGGAGGGAGGGAGATGACGGGGAGAGTTTTTTGGTGAGGAAGAAGAGATTGGGAAAATATATTTTTTTATTGTCTATGGTAGGAATAGAAAAAAAGGTATAACAAAACTAATAAAATAATGTAAATGGTAAGTTGTAGTGGGGTGATATAATAAGTTAATTTATTTTTGATTTGTTTTAAGAAGAGGGAGTTAAGTGGAACAAAATTACGGGGTAGGGAGTTCAAAGGAAAAAAAACAACCTAGGGACTAAGGAGGAAGTTGAAAAAGAGCTTTAGGGATTTTAGGAGAAATTTCCCTCATATAAATTAAATTTTGTTATTCAGAATTTATTCATTATTTATATAAACTCTGTTTATATTCTGTGAATTATTCTATTTAATTTTTTTTACCCACTTCATAATAAGAAACGTTGGTCCTCGTTTTTATGAAAGTTGTGTATGCTTTTAGAAGGCATGATTTTGATATGCATATAAATAATATTTTGACTGCTATGCCTCTTGCTGTGGACTTCCTTAAGAATTCTAATCCACAATCTTGGGCGGATTCTTTATTTTTTGGAGACCGTTGGGGGATCATCAATAATAATCAAGCAGAATGTTAGAATAATTGGGTAAAGTCGGCACGTTTTATGCCTATCTTAGCCATGGTGGATCACATAAGGAAACAAATTATGACCATGATACATGATCGGCGTGAAGGAGTGTCACGGTTCAATGGCCAGTTGTGTCCTAAGCTGGAAAAAAAAATTGCATCTTGCTACAATGCTTCCCGGAATATCAAAATCATCCAAACAAGTGAATGGAGGTTTGGGGTTCTTGATGCCGACAAAAGTTGTGACGTGGATTTGCAACTTCGTACTTATTCTTGTAGAGAATAATAACTATCTAAAATGCCTTGCAAGCATGCATGTGCTTGTGTTGAGAGTAGGTCAATGTCCGTCTATGATTTTTGTGATCCATATTATCATGTTGAGATGTATAGACAAGCTTATCAAGGTACTATTAACCTTATATCTAACTACGACCACAATGTAGCATCTTCCTCGTTGCATCATGATGATGTCATTCATGCCCCAGATGTACGATCTCAGCCAGGACGAAGGAGGGAAAAAAGGTTTCCTTCACATGTTGATGTTGCAGTTAGGCAGTGTTAGCGTTGTGATGGTCATGGACACAATCGACGCACGTGCAAATAAAGTGTGTAGATCACTGATGTATTTTGTTTTTGGGCAGGTGCGTTGGCATGTGTCGTTTTAGTCAGTTGTATTTTGTTTTGTCGGAATATTTTTTTTATGATACATTATTGACATATTTTGAGTATTAACTATATGAATATTTTGCGAGTAATGCTACAGTACATACAAAAAATGATATAAAAGATGTTTCATTTTCATCAGAAATTCTATAAAGGTGCCCAAGTCACGAAAGCCAAGGACAATCTCAAGACTAATGCTTGAGGATTTTTTATAACTTATTATTTTAATTAGGAAATTTAGTTATCAATAAGACTTAATTGCATATAAAATCCTCACATTTTGTGTAATTGCAAATAAAACTCAATTTTTTTTATCTTTGTAAATAAATACCAAACATTTATTATGCGTAGCAAATTTGTCTCAAAACTCCGGGTTATTTGTTTTAGTTTAGTTTTTTTTGTTGTTCTAGTTTTATTTTTTCAGTGTCTTTGTATGTGTTTGTTCTTGTGTTTTAGGTTTGTGACGTTGACCTCAGTTAGCCTGAGTGTGACCTTATTATCCTATTGGGATCCCACACTCGGGCATTACCCTGTTGGGGTCTTCTTTGTGTTGTGTGTTTTGTTCTAGTTTTTAGTGTTCCCAAGGATTACCCTGTTGGGGTCGTCTTTGTGTTTTGTTCTAGTTTTGTTGTGGTCCCGAGGATTATCCCGTTGGGGTCGACTCTAGGCGGTCTGTTGACTGTCCTCCCATTTTTATTCAGCTATTGGCTACTTTTATTCAGCCGTTGGCTGCTTGTATTCAGCCGGTGGCTGCTCCTTTGTACATTTGTGCGTTTTTATATAATACCTCTATCGTTTGGAAAAAAAAAAATAATATTAGCATACATTAAATGTTTTAATTACATAAAACAAAAAGAAGAAGAAGACTACATCTATAACCTGTATAAATAATAATAATGACATTATATTACAATAAATTTTATAATAAAATAATATGAATATTATACGAGGAAGAAGATTACATAAAATTGTTAATTTTCTTATATCAAGAAATAAATATATATAATGAAATTAAATTTATATTATTATAAACATGTGAGCTAGATAATATATTAATTAATTTACAGGCTAGTGCTACCAGACTCAGGTTTAATATCCCGACGAAAAAAATGAAGTTGATGAAAAGAGGTAAAAAAATAGATGATCAAACTCTATCATTTCTTAGGCCCGAACGAACAAATCCTATGGTCCACTCATTTAATATCTCCCGTGAATCACAAGAGGTACTTAACTGACAAACTCTATGAAAATGACCTATTTAGTACTTTTGTCCCGTGCATCGCACGGTCTAGTACTAGTAGCCATAACAAGAAAACATAAAAAGCAATTTACAAATCAACACCAAGCAACATTAATTAATTCATTTCATACCATCCAAAGTTCAAAACCCATGCACGACTCTTAAAATTACCATAACAATTACCAATAATTATATCATATAATATATATATATATAAAAATAATTAAATAATTAAACCCTTTCATTATTTTTTCTCCTCAATAAGCAGCTTATGCCCAATCTTATACGAAGCAAAAGCATCAATGCACGCATACTCAATCTGCGCCTGGCTAAGCTCCCTCGCCTCCCAATTACTCAGGCACACGTGCTTCGGCTTCCTCATCCCCAGCCCGCACACCTCGTACGCCAGGTCCTTCAGCCCGGGCCTACTGAACCTCCCGGGCCACCTCTCCTTAGCAGCCGCCCGCACGTCCGCGTGGCTACAGCAGTCGAGCCCGTACTCGTCCCTCAGCTTCTGCACGTCGTCCCCGACCTCGATCCCCACGAAGGTGAAGTTCGGGTTCATGAGGAGGCCCGCGACCGAGGCCGGGACCTCGTCCATGTAGAAGAGCTGGAGGATGAGGCACTTGTCGGCTATGCAGAGCTGGAGGGTGGCGGACTTGTTGCTCAGGGAGCGGACCGGGTGGGGCCGCCACTCGACGTCGAGGCCGACCACGGCCGGGCCGCCGCCGTGGAGAGAGACGATCTCGTCGGCCCACGCAGAGGCGGTGGCGGCACGGTCGGTGACGGTTGTCTCGATGGTGGTGCCGGCGAAGGTGACGTTGTATTTGGAGTTTGTGGGGTTGTATGTTATGGAGGAAGGGGACTGAGGGTATGTTCGTCCATATTTGTATCCATACATTTTTTTTTTTTTTTGTTTTTTGTTTTTAGGCTATGATTTTGGTTTAGGGTGAAGATAATGATAAGGTGGTCACTAAGTTCCATTATTTATAGATGCATTTTGGTTAGGTTCATTCATGGAGAAGTAGTTGGGGGTAAATTGAAGGTTGGAGGAGAATATTTAATTTATGCATTAATTTTTTTTTTTTTTTAGGGAATTGATTGTTTTGGGGAAAGTATATATCTTGGTTCAAGACTGGATAAAGTTACTAAAAGGTCCATTCAAATTCCTTGTTTACTTTTTTTTTTTTTCTTTTTAATTAATTTATTACAAGTGATATTGGAGGAGTCAAAAGGGTGATAAGTAA